CTACACCACGGTGCCGCGCCGTGGCCTTCTACGCCGGCCTCAAGAACCCGCACGAGGGTTACGAGGTGCTCAAGTTCGACGACGTAGTCCCCAACCTAGGCAACAACTACGACGCGACCAGCGCAAGTTTACGTGCAACATCCCCGGCACCTACTTCTTCACCTACCACGTCCTCATGCGCGGCGGCGACGGCACCAGCATGTGGGCTGACCTCTGCAAGAACGGCCAGGTGGGCCTGGCGGGGCGCGGGGTTGGCCTGGGGCCCGGGGACGCCAGGAGCCTGGGCACATGGGCATCGGGTCGGAGTCGGTGGGCGCAGGTGAAAACCCTACAGCGGCCCGGCTGCGGAGGACGGTCGCCCCTGGCTGGTACCTCTAACTCCTCCATGCCTGGGCGCCGACTCCGAGGCAGACGCTGCTGGGCACCCGCGGCAGGGAAACGGGGGAGATAAATGGAACTAGTGGGAGCGCAGGGCTCCCGGGCGCGAGGACTGGCCCTTGGGAAGCGGCATCTGAGAGCTGGGAGTCTGGTTGACACCAGCGGGTGATGAGTGGAGGGCGGGATGGGAAAAGGCAGCCTTGCGCCTGCGGGCTCCCAGGTGCACAGCTATGCGCACGAACCGAGAAGGCGAGCTGTAGATGTTTCGGGCACTCAGGCAAAGGGAGCCAGGCGCGCAAAGCCTTCCCTGCAATAAATCCCCGGCCCTTGGGCAGGGACCACAGGGCCGATCTGACACCCTTTGCAAAAGGCGGTTACTGTGCGGCCCCTTGGCTCTGTGTAAGAGTTACCCGGGCAAGAACGTGGGGGGAGGGGGGAAGAAGGGGAGGGGGCAAAGAGGTGGAAACTCCCCCTCCTCTTGGTCTCCCAGCTGCAACTCCTGATTCCTGGAGTGTGTGCGTGGGGAGGGGGGGGGGCGCGGGGGAGCGCGTCTCTCCTTTCCCTGTCCCCATCCCAAAGATCGGAGCTGGCAGGCATCAAGCATGCAGAGTCTTTGGACCTGCAGTGCATGGTGCTCTTCTTGGGACTGCTGCCCCAGGACCAATCTCGACCTAACCCTGCCCCAGGGCAACAGTTTTGCTCGTTTTCCTTCCCTTTTGATAGCCCCTCTCTTCCCAGTGCTTCCAGGCTACAGTGGCCTGGGGTCTCTGGGGGTGGTCAGGCCAAGCATTTTTGTGGAAGAGAGGACCTGCTCAGGTCAGAACTAAAGCTAGGCTAGTGGGAGTTGGGAAGGAATCTTCTTCAACTGAGACCCAAGGCGGTTGGAACCCCTCCCACTACAGCACTGTCCTGAGAAAGACCCTGGCTTGGGGGTGGGCGTCAGCAGAAAGCTGGCAGACCAGGTGCTTGTAAAGTAGTCCCCCCCCCACATACACACTCTTCTTTCCTCACTGCCTGCTTCTCTTTCCGGTTTCCGCCTCTCCCTGCCTCTTTCTTGTATCTCTCTGTCTCTTGTGCCTGTCTCTGTCGCGTCTACCAGTCCTGTCTGTCTCTCCCTGGGTTTCTGGCCTCCCTCTCCCAGTTGAACTCCACGCCCCCTTCTCTATTCTTTGGGAGTCTCTCTCCCACTTGTGCCTGTCAGGCTTCCTGTCTCTCTCGTCTTTGTCCTTGGTTCCTAACCAAAAGGGAGGCCCCAGTATCTAGTGAGGGCTCATTCTGCAGACAGCTCCATGATTCCCCTTATTAATCACCAATAAGGGATGCAGCAATGTCACCTTCATCAATGGCATTTCTTCCTTTCCCAAAGAAAGTTTGGGCTGGCACCAAGCTAAGGTTCCAGAGGGGTTGAGACCCAACTTGTCTGGAGAGGGAAGTGGTCACCAGACCACAAGTGGGCCCTAGACCCTGTGCCACCTCAGGAGGTTGCAGCAGGTCCCTGAGATGAGGCAAGAGGAGGCCCCAAAGATGGTGTGTGCTTGGGGCAGGGGTACTTGCTTCAGTAATTGGGAGGTGAGCCCTCCCAGGTTTGACTCAGTGGATAGAGTGTCAGCCCTCAGACTAAAGGGTCCCGGGTTTGATTCAAGGGCAAGTACCTCGGTTGCAGGTTCCCCGGCCCTGGTTGGGGTGCGTGCAGGAGGCAACCAATCGATGTGTCTCTCTCACATTGATGTTTCTCTCTGTCTCTTCCTCTCCCTTCCACTCTCTAAAAATCAATGGAAAAATATCCTTGGGTGAGGATTAACAACAACAAAAAAAAAGAAAAAAATAATTGGGAGGTGACACTGACTCCAAAGTCTCTTCTTTCACCTCCAGCGGGACAGATGATTGGCAGAGCCTGCCTAGGAGGTGGGACCATAAACTAGTAGAAGAAAGGAGGTGGCTTTAACTAGGAATCTCAAAGACCTAGCATTTTAACAATTACGCAGACCATTTGCTAACCCACCTCCCAAAACAAGACAAATAGTGGGGCACATACTTGGTGAACTCTCCTTCCAGATTATCCAAGAGACTCATTTAATCTCACTCATTATTCCACATAGTATTAGTTTTGAGCCCCTATTGGAGCCGGGTTTGAGGCTTGGTTCCAGGGGTTCAATCTGCTTGCCCTCCAGGACCTCATGGTCTGTGCAGGGAGACAGTAGTAACCACACAGTAACATACCCCAGCGATTACTGTGTTAGAGGAGGGCTGGGAGCTCCTGTCCCACAATGTCTTGGCTGGTGGGAGTGATTCAGTGGAACCTGAGACCCAGGTCAGACCAACCTGGTTGGAGGAGAGGATGGTGAACCTGGTCCCCAAGGTGAAGGGACATGGCTAGAGAGAAAATAAAAAGGTCAAGTGTAGGGAATGACTCAGAGATGGAAGAGGACATTCAAGTGAGCCGAGGAAAATATGAGGGGGCTGGTCAATGGAAAGGAACAAAAGAGGGGAGCTTGCACCTCCCGTGCCTTTAAGACCAGGGGCTCTGTTCTTTTCTTTCTGGCTTTCTCTCTACAGAGATTTTCAGAATTTCTTCAGGAAGGCAGGGCTGCATCTAAGCCTTGGCCCCTCCCGGGGCAAGATGGAGAGGAGGGAAGTCACCACTCCCCTGCCTGGTGCTGAAGCTGCCTATCTGTGCTGTCTAAGCCCCACTGGCCCCTCTCCCCAGGGGTAGCTTTGAGTCACCACTTCACAGCCTGATGGCACCAGGCCCTGGTCATTAGACATGGGGACCTGAGGAGCCTGAGAAAGAGGCTCTAGGTTGGAGCTGGTACCCTGGGTGAGGTGAGCTCCTTGCAGCTGCCTCTAAGATCCACAGTTCACTGGAGTCAAGGAGAACGTGCAGTTGATAAATTGGGATGGGGGAGATGGGCTGTGGGGACAGGCTGGGGAAGGTGAGTATTACAAATGAGCAGGGGCTTGGGTTCGAGTCTGAGGTGAGAGGTGGTAGGGTACATAAATTGAGGGCTGTGGTATAAAGACCTAACTGGAGATCAACCTCTTGGCTGATGATGGGAGAGGGGTCTTAGCTATCCTCTATGGCTTCTAATGCCTTTCAGACAGCACAGAGCACAGTGGCTGGCACAGTAGGGACCCAATCAATGTGTCTCCCGCAGGCAAAGCTAACTATCTATGGGAGACATACCTCCCAGCATTGACCTGGGGACAAGGGCATATTTCCTGGGTTCTCCCCCTACCCCTTCCAGGCCCCTGGTCAAACCACTGCCTCAGTTTCCCTTCCTGGCAGCCTGTGAAGAGGTGATTATACAGCGCCCCCTCCTGACAAGTCACAGACTTGCTTTTCTGCTTCCATGGCAACCTCAATTCCCCAAACTTTCCCTTGGGCCCCAGGAGGAGCTATATGCCTCCCCTGTTTCAGTTTTGGGCAGAGAATCAGGACCCCTGGGTTCCATTCTGGGATCCCTCACCATCTAAAGCATGGAAGGGCATAAATTCTCCCTGCGTCCATGGATAATTAGGATAATCACAGCAACAATCATGGTGATGAATAAATAATAAATATAAGCATAACAGTTCTGATGCCTGTCACATCATCGGGAGATTCCTGATGACAGATGACTGTATTCTAATGGATTTTGCTATTAACAAGCACACTGTTTTAATGAGTTAAGGCTAAATTAATCTGGGTAATAAAAATAATTGTTATTAGTAGTAATTTATTAGCAGAGATAATGAAATGCATGCATAATAATAAATACTACCAGGATTAGGGCCCAGGGAACAATACGGAAGTTGGCTGCTTGCTTTGAGCTCTTCCCTAGTAGCTCAAAGCCCCAACAAGATTAAAAAAATTTGTTTTTTACCATCATAAGGCTTTTTATAAAGGTGACAGTGGTTGAGGCAGGATCTTCTCATCTATTTTCTAAACAGAGAAACTGGGCTTCTTGACAAACAAGGTCTTCCCCCTTATTTGATTCGCCCCTAAAGGTGGACTGTGAGTTTTTCCTGCAAGATCCCCAAACTATTCCTTCCCAGGTTGGAGAAGAAGAGGTTGAGGGGGGAGAAGATGCTGGAAGGATCTGGGCCTTAAAGGGCAGTCTGCATGCAAATATGATGGGTCCTCCTGTTGCAGCACGGCCGCTGAGTCAGCAGCTTTAGCACAGCTGACTCGCAGTCCTGCCTCCCACCCAGAAGGATGGGCTCCTCCCCTAATTTGGGTTGGTCCAGCCTGGACTGTCAGCCCATGGGGGAGCTGCTTTCAGGAAAGGGGCAGGACGGAGAGGGGCTGTTGAGCCTGGCTGAGTGAACCCTCTCAGTGCAGCCTCCCCCCAACACAAGCCAGAACCTTAGAGATAGTTCTTCTCTTCCCATTCGTCACCCCGGATGTCCTGGGGAGGCCCCAGGTCCTGTGGTTCAGGCCTTGCTGTGGCCTCAGCTGTGGAAAAGGTATGCCTGGAGGGAATTTCCCACCACTTCCCACCCTCAGTATCTTACGATTACAGTCAGAGCCTGCAAAAGCCATGGTAGCAGGCTTCAAACCCAAATGCTTGCCTCATTGCCCTACCATTCCTCCCCTCCTCCATCAAAACAAGAACCAGCAAGTATATCAGATCAGACTGAGGATCACAGAGTGATGTAAGGATTCCCTTCTTTCCACCTACTTCCTTTCTCCCACTATGGGGTGAAACGGAGTCCGAAATCCTCTTTGAGCCCTGGCTGGTGTGGCTCAGTTGGTTGGAGCATTGTCTCGAGCACCAAAGGGTCATGGGTTCCATTCCTGGCCAGGGCACTGACCCAGGGTGTGGATTTGGGAGGCAACCAATCGATGTTTCTCTCACATTCATTTTCTTTTTCTCTCTCTCCCTCTCCCTTCCTCTCTCTAAAATCAATAAAAATATATCTCCGGGTACATATCCTCAGGTGAGGATTAAAAAATAATAATACAAAGGAAATCCTTTTTGAGTGGGGCAATAATCACAGGTATAGCAACAGCTCCTTGGAGGCAGGTGTGCAGGCCCGATCTGAGCCTTGGGAGGGGAAATAATTACCAGACCTTCCATCCTACTGCTCCGGCGGACAGACTCCAGAATGAACTTCAGACAAGGAGTCCCAATAGCAGGTCCTGGTACTAGGGTGATTGCTTGTATGGAGCCAGGGTGTGCACTGTGTCCCTCCTCCGACATGAGAACAGGTGGATGTGACTGAAAAAGACGGCAATCTGTATTACAATTAAAGCGGAGATGAAGGAATAATGAGAGAGAAGGGCCCTCTATCTTTGGGGGTCCAGAGAATTTCTCTCTGCAAGAGGGAGTTCCAGGCTGGGCCATCCTGGAGGCACTGAGGTTTTCAGCAGGCCACCTGGTCAGACCTAGAGAAGTTAGGGAAGCAGACTCTACCTGGACTCCCAATGCAGACCCAGATTACACCAGCCCCTGGAATCACCTAAAACACACGTTATGATTGGAAAGGGGGGGTGGGGGGTCGAGTGGGTAGGGATGTTGGGAGAGGAGCAGGCTCAGAGCCCTGATGGGGCTGGAAGTGGAGCTTTTAGGGCCTCCAGATCCTCTGATGTGGCCGCTTTACCTCTGACAGTTCCCTCCATCCTTGGCCCCACTTCTCTCCCCCCTCCCCTCTGGCACACACCCCTACTCTCCCACCCCCGCAGGTGCGGGCCAGTGCCATTGCCCAGGACGCAGACCAGAACTACGACTACGCCAGCAACAGCGTGATCCTGCACCTGGACGCGGGCGATGAGGTCTTCATCAAACTCGACGGGGGCAAAGCGCACGGCGGCAACAGCAACAAATACAGCACGTTCTCCGGCTTCATCATCTACTCTGATTGAGCTCCCCGCGTCCCTGGTTACCCCCCGGGCTCCTCGTCCTGCCGGGCAATGGATGACCCGTCCCCCGCCCACCTCTTTGCTGCCCAACCCGGCTGCGCGCCGTCCTGGCCGCAGCGCAGCCCGCGCTGTATATTTGTACAATAGGATTGTTTATTGCCCGCCCCTCCCGCCAGCCCGCCCAAGCCTGGGGACCGGTCTGGTCCGGCAGAGTCGCTTCCTGCGTTCAGATGCGCTGCCCTCCTGCTCCCGCTCCGGCTCCGGGGGTGGTGCCACCTGGGGAAGGGCTGGGAGGGGGACTGGATAGCTTCCCAGCACCCTTTAAAGCCCTACCCCCAGTCGCTCCCCGTCTGACCAAAGCTATAATAAAAACACTTCCACGCGGTTGGAGTTCCGTCTGTGCCCTGGGGAGGAGATGCAGGAGGAGATTCTGACCCTGTCCTCCTCCAGACTGGAAAGGGGTCTGCGGGAAGCGGCCCCTGGATCTGGGGGAAGACAGGGGCCAGTGCCCGCCACCATGGGCCTGAGCAGCTGGAATGGGAAGCCACCGGGTTATATCCTCCTCCTCCATGGTGGATAAGTTCCATGTTTTCATCCTTGAAAGTGGCATCAGCATTCCAAAGGCACAGCAAGGTTTAAACCGGGAAACCCCGACTCTCATCCAGTGCCTCCATATGTGATCCTGGGCAAGTCACTCCTCTGACTCGCTTCTGGGTTCGTGACCGCCTTTGCACTGAAAGGTGGTTGGCCTTGGCCGGAGCACTTCACCTCTGGGCCTCAGCTTCCTCATCTATAAAATGCAGGTGACCTCCCTCACTTGACTGAGGATTAGAGAGAGATATGAGCTCAATAAACATAGTTTTTATTATCTATACATCACTTTAAAGTTTGCAGAAATGCTTTCAGGTATGTCACTCAGGTCTCCCAAGAGCCCTGGGAGGTTGGATGAGTAGATGTAATTCTTCTTCCGGCGAGGTTAAATAGCTTGCTTATTGTGATAGTCACTTAGTCCTGTGGTCGCACTTGAATCTAAGAAGCCCTGCTCCTTGGAGACAACACACCAAGTCTCTTCACCCTGTCACTACCTCCTTCACTTCCTGTAATGGCCACGGCAGTCCCACAGTTAGGGCATTCCTAAATAATAATAGCTAATATTTAGAGAGCACAGCACCCACACTATCAGACACCATATAGGAACTATAAATATCTTATGGGTATGTGTGTGTGGGGGGGGGGGGAGTGGATTGTCAGGAAATGCTCTCATGCCCTTTAACGAATATTGTTATTTTTTCTGAAATGATGAGAAAACTAAGGCTTGGAGAGGCTAAAGTGCTAAGGTCACAGAGCTAGGAAGAAGCAAATGCCAGTATCTGAACCAAAGACCTGGTACACCATATTTCACAAAGATCTGGGATCTCCAAAGCAAAACTGAGGAAGGATGACATTGAGGCAGCTCAGCCTCCCTCCCCATTATGTTCAGCCCTTCCATTCCTGCTGCCCCTGCCCTGCAGAAGCTTGGTGTATTTACAAGCATTTGCCCTGGAAGCAGCCATGGGGTAAGCTTTCTGGAGAATCCCAAGGCTCGACATTGAGGAAAAGGTCCCATCTGGCCTCTCCCACCCCCCATCCCGCTGGCTCAGCCGGAGAGACAGGAAGGAGGGGGTGGGCTCCCTTCCAGTCAGGTCCCATGTATAGACCCTTGTCATCGCTGGCAGCCTTGAATGACTTTCTTTATCCTCCCTTCGCTCCCTTGCTTCCCAGCTGTGGCCATTTAATAAAATTAGCTTAATACTTGTTCCTTCCCTGTGGGGTCTGGAGATTGAAATCTGCAGGTCCCACAAACCCAATAAAACCCCTGGCAGATCTGGCTGGAATGAGAGTTTCCTTGGGAAGAGTGATTAGATTAGACAGCGCTCCTCCCCACCCAGCCCCCAATTCTGTCCACCGCCCCTGTGGGGTTTTTAATGGCCACATTGGCCCATAATTACCCAGCCACCACACCTGGGGGCACCCCACTCCTCCCCAGAGACCACAGGGACTGGTCTAGGACCTCTGCTACAATAAAAAGCATGCTAATCATTTCTGCAGGGAGTGTCTGCCTGGCTGGCTGGCTGGCTTTCTCTTCTTTCTGGTGACTGGACGATCCTCATGTCATTTTGAGAGATGAGCTTGAAGTCTCCATTTTGCAGATGAGGAAATGATAGTCTGAAGGAAAATCGTGACTTGCCCATGGTCATGCAGCAAGTTTGTGATACAGCTGGGCCTGGACTGAAACCAAGGACCGTCTCTTTCTTTGTGGGGCACCAGGAGTGTCCAGCAGGGCCAGCCGTCAGCTACCTGTCACTCGGGCAGCATCCCAGCTGCAAAGGAACCTGTTGGGGAGATGTCTTCCCCATCAGACGGGCTCTCCAAGGGCAAGGTCTGTTTTTACTCCGCAGACTTGGGATGCCCAAGGTCAAGGTCCGTGTTTCCACCATCAGAATGGGAAGCTTCCTGAAGGCAAGCTCTGTGCCTCCTCCATCAGACTGGGAATCCTCGGAGACAGTGTTTTGAGTGAGTTGAGGGCAAGGTGCATAGCTCCACTGAGACTGGGGGGTGGGGCTTTCCTGGATGCAGAGACTGTGGTTCCTCTCTCAGTGGCTCTGGGGGAGACATTGTACTTTTTCTGTTGAACTGGGGCTTTCTGAGACCAGACTCTGGGCCTGGAGGGCCCTCAAAGGACAGAGCCTGTCCCCTAGTCCAACTGGGGGCTCTCTGAGTGCAGGCGCTGTGTCTCCCTCTCAGACTGGAAGTTCCCTGAAAGCAGGGCATGTGTCTCCCCTGCTCCTCAGTTGGGGGCTTTGCTGGCACAGGAACATTCTAGAGCACAGGGCTACCTGGATGGCAGAAAGGAGGTTGGTCAGGCAGAATGGAGGGAGGGAGGAAGAAGCCTCCCCAGATTGCCTCCATTTTAGGGAGATGTGTGATGAATTAATGGATAATGTCCCTTCCAGGGGTGTGGGGATGGAGGTGCCCCTGGAGCTCACCCACACAAAGAGTGTCAGGCCATCCTGCGCTCCGGCAGTTGCCAGCCCTAGGGGCTGGTGCTGCCCTGGTTTCTGGGGTCATGGAGACCAGAGGGGTGTGGGGGCCCACCGCTGGGGGCTGCCCTAATTGGATGACTTTGCAGGAAAGCCGGGCAGGTGCGCTCAGCTCTCCCCTCTTCAGCTTGCTACAAACACATCTACCATGGTGAGGTCTAGGGGTTAATTGCCTCCTGCCTCACTCCTGGTAACCAATATTTCATTTACTGCTCAGAGGGGGAGCTGCCCAGAGAATCAATCCCGGACAAGCGTCCAGGAGGCAGGGGAGCTGCGGAGGCACGGGAGCTGTTTCTAGGAGGATCTCTGAGCATCAGAAGAGGAGGCAGAAGGCAAGGGCCCAGAGAAGGCGGGCAATTGCTCAAGACTACTCTGGGCCTCACCCATGTCCTACTGACCCTGACAACAGTTCCAGGATCGCCAAGGGCTGAGAGAAAATCCAGGGGTCCAGAGGCTGCACTCCCCCAGCTGGCAGTGCTGTTTCCTGCCCTGGCTCCTTCTGCATTTACTTACCTTGTGCCCCCATAAGCTATAGCAGGTTAGATGCTGCTAATAAGGGTATTTTCACAAGCAATGAAGGCATATTTGAAAAGCGGAACTGGAAGTGTGAACTCTTCGCTCCCTTCCAGGTAACGAATCTTCAAATGCTACAAATGAGGTGATAATAAAGTGGAAGTGAGAAGTCTACACATGCTTGGAACTGGGAGGGGTGGCAGGGCTACAGAGGGGTGCAGCTGGGGCCTGGAGGAAAAAGGGCCAGAGGGCTACCTGCCCCATACTTTCCACATGCTACCCATTGGCCCCACCCACCAAAATTGAGAACCAAAGCAGTAGAATGGGTAACCCCCATTACACAGCTGGAAAAACTGAGGCCCACTAGACATGCAGCAAGTAGAGACAGGAGCACTGGACTCAGGTCCTGGCCATGCTCAGTGTTTCAGGGAAAGACACTTCACTTCTCTGCGCCTCAGTTTCCCCACCTATAAAATGGGGCTAGATAATAAAAAATACTTATGTGAAGGCTGTTGTGATGCCTGGGTGAGAACCTGCTTGTGAGTTATGAAGCAAAATGCAAATGCATTTTTATTATTACAACCCAAGACTCCTGAGTCCCATGGCTGAAAATTCTTTGGCTGCACTTCAATGCCTGGGATGATGATAATCATCATCAAAGAAGATGAAGACATCTGGTGGTTCTACCCCGGTAACTCCAAAGTGAATGTGGGGTACTAGGAGAGGGGTTGGTTTGGGGTACCCAGGATGTGGAGCTAAGTATTGAGAATGGAGTGCCCCAAGTCCGGTCTCCGATGTGGATTCCCTCACCCTTCTGCTCTGTGGCCTCCCATTTGGAGTGAGAGCACAGGGATACCGCTGAGGCCCTGGCCTACCCATCAGTTCCTATTCCTACTTGCTCTTTCATTTCCGTGTTACTGAACACATCCAACACACCAGGCTCTAGCTTGGCATGGAGGATCCAGAGATGGATGAGAAACCACCCAGAGTTTCAAGACGCTCACAAGGATCACACAGATACATCCAGGACCTTCTCTTAGAGGGACAGGGGGGACTTCCCAAACCGTTAAGAGGGGTTATTTCTCAGGGAGTTGGGCTAAGTGGAGGCTTATATTTTTTTAAGGTTTGACAACAATCATATATCCATCCAAAACAGGAGCCCCCTCAAGCCCCACCCCCCATGCTGTTGCTGAAAGGATTCCTTTGGGGATGTGGTGGGTGGTAGAACCCTGGCAGCTGAGGGTTTTCTCTTCTCTTGTCCCAGGGCTTGGGGAATACTGGAGATGGAGGAACCACATGTACGCTCATCTCTGTATCAACAGCTAAGTTATAACAGTAGCTTTTGTACTGTGTACGATTCCACTTAAGCCTCACAATGATCCCCCAAGGTAGTTACTATTGTCACACCCGTTTTTGGATGAGAAAACTGAGATACAGAGAGGTGCATTAACTTACCCAAGATCACATGGCTGACTCTTTCTGAGAACAGCCCTCTTGACTGGCCATTGCATAGAGTAGGGAAAGGGTTGAATCTCACTACTTCCCAGCCTGAGCAGTCAGGCTCCCCTCAATCACCAGACGCACCCCTTCCTACAATGCCTGCTGCCTGGACAGCTGGCGCAGGGGTGGGGCGCCTGGCTTTTCCCAGATGGTGAAGAGCAAATTCAAGGGTTTCTTCCCAGGCCGCCCAGCACAGGCCCCTCTGTTCCTTGAGTGAAGAGCCCCAGTCTGGACTAGGACAACTGCCTAGGCCAGGAGAGTTACAAACCTCTCCCCACCTGCCCAGAGCCAGGGATGATTCTGCTAGGCCAGCCGTGGGCAAATTACGGCCCGAGGGCTGGATCCGGCCCGTTTGAATGATAAAACTAAAAAAAAAAAAAGACCATACCTTTTA